ATAAACATTCTATGTTTCTTATTTATTTGGTTCCACAGTGTTTGCTGATTACTTTATTTAAACTTTGTGTATTTTATTTATTTTATTTTACATCAAGGTGTATATGACGTGCCTCCAAGCTTTCTTAATTCGTTTTGCTTCATAGAATAGAATAAACTACATAGAATAAACGTTCTATGTTTCTTATTTATTTGGTTCCACAGTGTTTGCAGTGTTTTATATACCTATTTAAACTTTGTATAGCCTAAGTAATTTATTTTATTAGGCATATATTGTGCATTTATATTCGTTTTGTTAATAAAAGTTCTGAGTTTGACGTTGTTGTTGCTTGAATTGAATCAACGCCGAATTGCTGCTAATTTGAAAGTGAAAGTAAAATGCGCACGGCACATTTACAAGCCATTTGAAAGCGAAGAAAAGAGGGAAACGCAAACGAACTAACAGCCCCCCCCCCACCCCAACGGTGATACCGGTATTACCGGTGTTGTCACACGTCGATTATCCGGTGGGAAAATTTCCTCACCGTCACAACCCTAGTATAGAAACGGTGTGTGATCCAGCTATTGCTGTGAGTTATTTCAGCATCCGCTTCTACAGACATGAGTTCTTGATGTGTTTGGTTTCTGACCTCTCTCCTCGTGCCCTGCTCCTCATTCCTTCCTGTCCACCAGAATTTACTGTTATTGTCCCGTCATTCAGTCCTGACCCTGCTTTATCTCAGCTAAATTCCCCGTTTCACTCTCGCAAATGGAAATATTACGCAACTGGACATCTTGCTGTCGGAAACAGAGTAGTTTCCAGATTAATACAAGCAGTTTCATCATCTTTTGACAGCCTCAGATCAGCTTATAGCGCAAAATTAAAAGTTCCATCCAGTAGAGCATTTTTAAGAGGCCTTAACATCTGTGAATGGGAGATTACGGTATCTGGAATGGGCTTTCATTCGTTTCTTGAAGGATTCTGGGTTTGTGAAAGACTCCAGCTGTTTTGTAGCTTAAACCTGACTTGACGTTTACTGTGTAATTGAGGTTTGCACTGTCAGAATTTTTTTTATTTCAGTCCTCAGGCATAGTTCCGTAATAATTATGCATAATTTTACATATTAACCAAAAAAAGGTGTATGCCGAAGCTTATTTTACCAAAATTTTTTTTTTTTTTTTCTTTTCATAACAAGTGTCACTTCCACTAATAAATTTAATCTATACAAAGACACAAAAATAAAACAGTAAATTGTTAATTTTATTAATAATTATTAATTTTCAGTTATATATTTGTTTATCACTTGATTTTTTAATTATTTATTCTTTTTTTAATTTGCAAAGTAATCTACATATTTTTAATTCATATTTTTAAGTCACAGTTATTTCACCCCTTTCAGGTATTCATTAAAAAATAATATTTTATTTTATTTTATCCCTTGCCCTAAACATGCGCTTCCCTAAGTTTATACAGACTCTTTCTCATTTCAGACAGCGTCTGAATACATCTGGCAAGTAAATTATTATTTGCTTTATACAGTATCTGTGTACATTTAAAATCAACCAGATCACACAATTTTAAAGAATATAATTTAATAAGTAATTTGTTGGGTGGTTCATAATAGTTGAGTTGATTTACAGTCCTTACAGCTCTCTTCTGTAGCATAAAGATGTTATTGGTGCAAACTTTATTTCTTTACATCAGGTCAGTTTGCTATTACTGAGGGCTTTTTCTGTGCAAGCCGCGTAAAAGGTGCATTAAGCATTTGCATTTAACACCTAAACATGGATGTGTGGCTTTGCTTTAGCTGCGTCTAGTTTTCAATATTTCATCTCTCGTAGGAGTAACAGGAGGTTATCGCCTCGAGTGTGTTCAGGAATACTGTTTGAAGCTTCCAGGAGTGAAAACCATCTCTTGACAGATTTACAGTCAATGTTTTTGGACATTGGCCATGTCTGAAGTAATGTGTTGAGTCCACAGCTGCTGTCAAAAACAAACCGCAGTTTGCGCATCATATATCAGATGATTTTATGAGCTTCGGTTCTGAGTATCGCAGCTTTCAACAGAATTGTCATTTACTCACCCTCATGTCAAACCCGTAGGACTGACTTTCCTTCTTTTTGTTTTTGGAGAATATTGTGGCTACACTTTTAAATTTAATAAAAGTGATTGAATTAATCTGTCCTAATGCAAAGCGATCGTATGACTTCAAAAGTCTTGGAAATGTAGTGCATGTGTTGTATGGACTATTTGTATCATTGAGAAACTACTATTTTAAAAAATATATATTTTTAAAATTATTTTTAGTTGTGTGTTTTTGTCATTTTTATTAGTTTTCATTTTAATGTTTTTAAAATGCTTTAATTAATTTTAATTTCAGTTTAGTTAAGTACGTCAAGTTAAACTAAATGAAAATGAGAATATTTGCCTTTGCAACTAGCTGAAATATATATTTTTATATTTTATTTTAAGGTTTATATATTTTATTTTATAAGTTTTTTTATATTTTATTTCAGTTAAAGTTTATTTTATTTCAAGTAACAGTTTTTTTAAAAAGTACATTATTAAAATGTTTTTTTTTGTGTTTCCTCGTAAGAAAGTATAAATAAATACACATTCAGACACACTTTGGCTAGATAACTATATCTAAAATGAAACTGTTATGTGTATTTCAGTGAAATGATTTTAGTGGCTGAAGTGTCAACTTCTGAACATGTTTTTGTGGTTATTTTTAGGATCTGTGCATAGACGAGCTGTCCAACACATCTGATTCTCTGTCGGAGTATCCAGACCCTTCAGGATTTGGCAGCGATAGCCTGGCACAGAGACCCGCTGAGGGCCCCGTGCCACAGATGTACTGGGATTTACCTGGACACAGTCAGAGACAGGTATTCACACACTGCTTTTCTCTCCAATATTTACTTGTCTGAGGTTTTCAATGGTCCCATGGACTCAAGCTGTTCTGAAGCTTAAGCCTTACTGTATAATTTTGCACTGTTAAAATTAGGGCTGCACGATTATGACAAAAATCATAATTGTCGATTATTCCCTTGAAATTGTAATTGCGAATATTAATTATGATTATCACAATTTACACTGAATGATGTTTATACCATTATTTGAAACAACTGCATGCCATATTTTTATTTGAAAATAAACAAGCTGAAAACCCTCAAACTGAAAAGCTTTTCTATAGTATTAAGCCTCAAATGTCAACTATACATTGGATTGGTTTCTTCTTTAAATAAGAAAACAGTTAAAATATGCATGATATTATAATGTTATACTACCATTAAGATAACATTAAGAAAATTTGTAGAAAGAGAAAAATGTAGAAAGAAAAAAACATCTTTAGCACGCAGAATAACATAAGTGGACTTTGAACGATTAATTACCGCTTTGAACGATTACATAATTGTGACATCCATAACTGTAATCGCGATTAGAAATTCAATTAATTGTGCAGCCCTAGTTAAAATGGAAAGATATCATTGCTGCAAACTTTATTTCTTAACCGTCAGGTCAATTTGCTATAGTACTAAGAGCTTTTTTTGTGTAAGCTGCTTTAAAGGTGGATTAAGGTGTTTAATCGCTAAACATGGACATGTGTCTTCACTTTAGTGTTTAGTTTCATGCTGACATTTTAAAATACTCTGGGGTTTTTGATGCTTTATTTAATATCCCAACTCATAAAACAAATGAAATACTTTGCATTTTAACGTCACTTAAAGAGAATAACCTGTAAACGCAGGTTTCTGGCATTGCCAGGTTACTGGTTTGCATGTGAACCGATGATGTTTAGTACTCATCAGTGTATTGTGTGCAAGTAAACGGCTCAATGTTCAATAGTCAGAGATGTGATTTTTCTGTATATAATTCTGTATACATTCTCCAACCTGAAGAGTTTGACTCACGTTAATTGCGTAAATAAAAAAAAAGTGTTTTCTGCCAAAATAAAAGCTCTGTGGTTTAATGTTTGAAAGCAAATATATTTATACAGCCATAAATATTGGTATTGAAATTTTACTGTTACTGTAAAATAAAATTATTTTTATTATTAAATACTGTCTTTTTTACAATCATAATATTTCTGTATTTTTTATTATAATATTTTTAATTTTATAATTTAAATTATATAGATTTTTTTAATATATGTATTTAATTGTAATAATATTATTTTATTTTATTTATTTTTTTTGTCTTTTTGTCTTCACCCAAAAATAAAAAAAAGTTGTTCCAAAACAGTAGCCATTGACTGCCATATTATTTTTGTCTCCATACTATGGAAGTCAGTGGCTACCGTCCACTAATTGGTTACCAGCGTTCTTCAAAATATCTTCTTTTGTGCTCAACGGATGAAAGAAACTCAGATTTGGAACAACTTGAGGTTGAGTAAATGATGACAGAATTGTTATTTTTGGGTGCACTATCCCTTTAATACTCACCACCAGTAAAGTTTATGTGTAGTCAATAATATTAGCATGTAGAGTCTCATTTCTCTTGTGTAAATTTCATACGAGTGTTCAACATCACTGTATCTGTGTTCTTCAGCAGAACCTGAGCGCGTTTCCTGGTAGGTTGGATCCACCTATCCTGTCTGCGTCGGTCGCAGGATTTAAGGTAGATCCTCTCTTTTTCTCTAATACTCTATCCTCTGTTTCACCACGTTTCATCATCTTTTGTTTTCTGCCCTTTCATTCCTTCATTTCTCCAGGCTGCTGCTCCTCCGCCGCCACCGGAGGAAGAGGAGGAGGCAGATGAGGAAGAGACGGAGGATTTGGGGCATGCGGACACGTACGCCGAATACAAGCCATCCAAATGTAAATAGACATGCCATATCACATTAATCTACAGCACATGAGTGGGCAGTATGAGCCAAATTAGTATTTTTATATCCCGGTAATGGTGTATAACATGACGTAGTGATTTTAAGATCCTTGTGGATGCTTAAAGTCTTAAATGCAGTTTTCTCAAATATTTTAAATGGTATATTGTAATATTTTAAAGGTTTAAATGGTATAGAAATGTCTTAATTATCAATTTAGGAGGTCTTAAATTTAGAATAACAGTAATCACGATACAGCCTAATGTGATTATAAAACTTCAAAAAGCATTGATTTAATTAAATTAATCCAAGCGCTGTGCGTTCAAAGTCAAAACTGCGCAATTTCACGTGCTACAGGCTCGCAATCAATTAATACCATGCATTTATGCCAAACAATTGCTTATGATGTACTGTTAATGCATAATGACAGTGTTTTATAGTGTTTATACTGTAATATGTTGTAGATGCTTGAAAGAGTATCCTTTTCATCTTTTTTTTTTATCCTTTTCATCTTTTTGAATGAGCAGCTAGAAGTAGCAACACATAAACATTTCAAAATAAGAGTCCCGGTGTATTTTGGACTTGTTTATAATTAAAAGTCCTACATTATGCATAAAATCTTTTTTCCCCCTGGTTATTGGTATCTTGTTAGTATTAATTACTTATTTCATGTGTGCCCCATGCTGTCTAATTAAGTAAAATAATCTGAGATACATGATTTAGGTTGAGATTGTATGGGTTTGTTCTTTAAGGACACATGATTTAATTTGACTTTTTATTTTATTATATAGTAGGAAAAAAACAGGGAAAAAAACATGACATTAAAGCGTATCTTAATTTAAACTTTTATTTATTTATTTATTTTTGTTTAATTTTTGCATTTAAATGTAGAGAATATAAGTGAATAAATTTTTTTTTAAATAATATAGTTTAATATAATGCAAGATTTACTTTCGGCCCAAAGCTTTCAATCAAGTTATTAGTTTTTTTGGCCCTTCATAGTAAAACGTTTGCCTGTTTAGCCCCGCCCACCGATTCTACATCACTACCTGTTTAGCCCTGCCCACCGATTCTACATCACTGCCTGTTTAGCCCCGCCCACCGATTCTTAATCACTACATGTTTAGCCCCGCCCACTGATTCTACATCACTGCCTGGTTATCCCCACCCAATGATTCTTAATCACTACATCCTGTTTAGCCCCGCCCACGATTCTACATCACTGCCTGTTTAGCCCTGCCCACGATTCTACATCACTGCCTGTTTAGCCCCGCCCATGATTCTACATCACTGCCTGTTTAGCCCCGCCCACTGGTTCTACATCACTGCCTGTTTAGCCCCGCCCACGATTCTACATCACTGCCTGTTTAGCCCCGCCCACTGATTCATGCGTGTAGTGTTAATAACGAGAGAGGCAAACGCAGGACTACGCAGAAACCAGCGAAAAAGATGCTCTGAAGAAAACAAGACGCTGTTCAGTGTAGTGTTGTCACGGTACCAAAATTTCAGTATTCGGTACCAATACCAGTGAAAATCCTGTAATTGAAACTTACCTGCTTGAACTTGATCGGGGTGTTTTGTTAGTTTGATGCGTTTCCTCCTCTTGAGGTCGCCGATGCTTTTAAGAAGAGGTTGCCAGGTTTTCACAACAAAACCCGCCCAATCGCGTTTCGAGGGGGTCCCCCGTTAAAAATCGCGTTCCGAAGATAAAATATGTATGTTTTGGCGGGGTTCCCCTGGTAAAATTTGCATACCAGGGGATAAATATCACGTTAATGGGGTCGTTTTTCAACCCGCGGACATGAAAAACAACCCACGGCAACAGTGTTAAAGCAGCCCAATTCGACTTGGCAACACTAGAAGAGGATAGCTCTCGGATAGCGCATCAAGAACCGGGTTGACCGGGTACTCGGTACCACCGGTACTTACAAAAACCTGGTACCGTAACGTTTTCATTTTTTTAGTACCGACTTGGTACCGAAATACCGGGTCTTTTGACAACACTAGTTCAGTGCCAAGATGTGGAAAAACAGTCTCTGCATCGTTTTCCTTCTGATCCCAACATTAGGAAAAAGTGGATGAACTATTTTTAATGAAGATCCAAATTGCGTCAGTAAGAACTTGGTCCTTTGTTCACCTCATTTTACCGCGGATTCGTTTGCAAACAAGGAACAACTCGACGCAGGATTTTCAGAAAGATTGAAACTAAAAGACGATGCTGTGTTGAATATATTGGATCTGACAGTAATGTCGCACCACACAAGTGTGAGGAACTGTTTTTATTACGTGCTCACTATTGCTTTGTCTGTTATTACAGATCGTTTGACGTACTTGTGCGTTTTTAACCTAAATCACAGCAGCGCTCATCTGTGAAGGATGTAGCTGTCAAACATACACAACTGTTAGCCAATCACAGCAGTGAACGTTTACTTCCGAGTCTACAATCCACCACACTATTCAAACAGAGCGATCAGATGAGAGAGGGTCAAAACAAGACAGAAAATAGCCTATTACTTCTGAATTATGTTTTTTGATGTAAAAATCTTGATAACATTATAAGTGGACTTCAGAGAACAGTACAAAATAATAAAAAAGCCAGTTCATGACCCCTTTAAAATGAATAAAAATCATGCTGCCCAATCCCTCTTACAGCACAAATGCAACTTGATTTCATATTTTGTGGTGCTTCCGTGGCAAATAATTGCTCTGTTCACATGTGCAGCTACTATAGGAGTCTCTCACCCTGACATCGTGGTGGAGACCAACACACTGTCCAGCGTTCCTCCTCCTGACATCACCTACACACTGTCCATTCCCCCCAGCAGCATTAGCTCCGGCCTGCTGTCCGCCCTGCAGCTGGAGGCCATCATCTACGCCTGCCAGGTACTCTCTCTGCTCTTCTCTTTCCACTCACTGATAGGGTTGGCTATCGTTTGGTAGGTGGGAGGTTGAGAACAGTGTTTTATGCCCCCCTTGTTAATATTTTTGATGGTGAAACCTGTGGTGGACTTCTAAAATGAGGGCATGATTCTGTATAAATTGAGTTTTTTTTTTTTTTTTCACAATGGAAGTTGTGGTTCTCTCGTGATTCTGAAAAAAAAAAAACATTAGACAACTAAACAAAATCACATGTAATTTTTAAATTAATGATTCAATGACTCACTCAAGATGTACTTGTTCCATTACTGGATCTTGAACGAATCTCTTGTATGATTCAAAGACAAATACATTTTAACAGCCCCTTTTCGCCACCTACTGGTGTAACAATGTAATCGATAAATCTTCATTTGAAGTGTCAAATTACTTTCAAAAGGTGATTTACTCTGTTTTAATCGCTACCATACACATCGTACACACAGTTTATATCTGAACTATAAACTTTTATCCCAGTACTTCTGTGATTTGAATGTTTGTAACAGAAATAATGATACTGTGTGTCTGAAAAGACTGTGAAGCTGTTTCATTCATGACAGATGACAGCTGCTCTCTTTAGGTCAATGGCAGCGTGAACGCAGCTTTATGTTCAGATCACACTGATGTGATCATACGCTGCATGGACGAACCACTTGATCACAACATTGATTGCACACGTCAAAGGTTGATGAATGAAACAGACGAATCATTGTAATTTAGGAATAGAATCACGTTGGTGTTTGAATCGCGTTCGCGATCTTTAACGATCTATTAAATTAAAGTGCTTTGTCATGTTGGTGGTGACACCTCTCTTGCAACATGCTTAGCTATCACAGATATTATACTTAGCTCTTTTGGCTTCTGATCGCAAACGTAGCCAAACTTTGGAACGCTTAGATTAGCGAGCAAGGTCCTAGCAGATCGCTAGGTCCAGTCACAGATGAAGAAAATAAAAGCATATCCGATTCCCAACCCTACTCACTGATGAGTTTTGTGTGAATGTATGAAATCGCCTTTGTGCTCGTGCTCTTCAGCAACACGAGGTGATTCTTCAGAACGGTCAGCGAGCAGGGTTTCTGATCGGAGACGGAGCCGGCGTCGGGAAGGGCCGCACTGTGGCCGGAATCATACTGGAGAGTTTCTTAAAGGGACGGAAGAGAGCACTATGGTAAACACCCGCATGCATCCCTAACGTTCACGTTTCAGTCATGACTCATGATTCGTTCTGATGAATTGATGCATAACAGAGGGATTTTTCTGGATATTTTAGGTTCAGTGTGTCAAATGACCTGAAGTACGATGCTGAGAGAGATCTCAGAGACATAGACGCTCCCAACATCCCTGTGTTTGCTTTAAATAAGGTTTGTGAACTGAATCATCACTGCTTTATTTTCATCTGTATTGTATATATTCGATCAGGGTTTTCCAGATGTGATGGATCTAATTAGGCTTTGTGAGTTGATGAAAAACAAATAATTAAATCACAACAATGTAAAATTTACATAAATAACAAAAAAATAAAAACAACCAAAATAAAAAACTTGCTAAAAATATTTTATTAATATTTTATCTTTTCAAATATTAAGAAGTATTTTTTTTGCTTAGTTTGTTTATTGAACTTTTACAATAAAAACAGGATAAAAATACAGAAGGATAGTGAAAAATATTGTATTTTATTTGTCTACCTGCATTTTGTGTGAGCATTAACCGACATCAGAGAACTGTGAACCAGCGTTATTTTAGAATTATTTACATACTATTAAAGTATTTATAATTTCAGTTTTCATTTTAATTTAGTTTTAGTAATCTAATATACTTTTATTATTTTGTTATATATATTGTTTTAATATTTAAATATTTCTAGTTAGCGTTCGTTTATTTTTATTTCAGTTTTATTTTTAGTCAAGGCAGCATTTCTAATTTTCGTTTATATTTGTCATCTGCTTATTTTTTATTTCAGTTTTATTTCAGTCAACGACATTTATTTTTAATCATTTTAGTTTTGGTTTCAGTTAACAACACTGCCTTGAACCTGCGAATATATGGTTAAATTGTCGAAATATTAACTTAATATCTCAGATGGACTTCAAGTGCATTTTATGTCAAAGGGCTTCGGCTGACAAAAATGTTTGTGACGCTGTTATACAGTAGCCATAGAGGTAAAAACAAGGTATGAAAAATACGCCAGTAAATGTTAAAGTATCTCATGAGAGCATCACAATCACACAGCCACTTATGTAACTTACTTTTATAAATGTCTTGTTTTCTGTTGTATGCATTAGCAAAAGTTGTGTGCCATGTTTTCATTTATTCCTCAAAATTGTGTGGAATAAAACAGCAAGTCAGCAGGAACATTTATATGTGACCCTGGACCACAAAACCAGTCATAAGGGTCATTTTTTTTGAAATTGAGATGTATGCATCATCTGACAGCAAAAGAACAGCATTTATTTGAAATATAAATTTTTTTAACATTATAAATGCCTTTACTGTCACTTTTGAGCAATTTAATGCGTCCTTGCTGAATAAAAGTATTAATTTATTTAATTTCTTTCCCCAAAAAAACTTTTGAACGGTAGTGTATAATGTTACAGAAGCTTTCTATATTCAGCTTTGTCATCACAGGAATAAATATTTGTAAATAATTTACTTTAAATATTTTCAAATATATTAAAATATAATTTTTTTAAATAATATTTCACAATATTATTAGTTTTACTGTTTTTGATCAAATAAATGCAGCCTTGGTGTGCATATTTTTATATTTTCAGTTTTCATTTTCATTATAATGTTTTATTAATTTTGTTGTTTTTAGTCATTTTTGTTAGTTCTAGTATTACATGTGTCAAATTTTTTTATACATTTTTAGTTTTAGATATTTTAGTACATCAAGTTTAACTAAATGAAATTGAAAAGTGTTGCCTTGACGACTAGCTGAAATAAAAGTTACGAAGGTTTTTTTTTTTTTATGGTTAGATCTTTTTGATTTGGTTGATTAGTTATTTTCCAAAGTAACCGTAGCCAAATCCCCATAAAAAGGGTTCATTATGGTTTCATGCATTCTGATCTCTTGGTCTTTGTGGATTCATGAGATCTGAGTTTTCTGCCTACACCATTTTCGTTCTACAGGTGCTTCGGAGCCAAAGAATATGATATACATGAGCCGACTGGGGATCTGGGGGCAAGGAACACCATTCAAGACGTTTGACGACTTCCTGCATGCTATTGAGAAGAGGTCAGAGGTCATGCTCAGTATCACAGAGATCAGTGCTGCGTCCCAATTCGCATACTATCCGTCCTAAATAGAATTAGTATGTCCCAAATCATAGTATGTTTAAAAAAGTATGCCAAAGATTCCCGGATGGTCTACTACTTCCGGTTAGAATTCGAAGTGCAGATCGATGCACACTCTAACAGCTAATATTGCCCACAACACATTGCGTGGTGGACGACGATTCAATTAGAACTACAAACACGCATTAAGTGTTTTAAAAAACTACAAACATGGCGGATATACGCGACCAATGGACAGGTAGATAAACGGATTTGAGTGATAAATAATCAATGTCTAACCTGATGAAAAAATATAAATTTAATGTTATCCACGTTATATTTCATCTGCAGCAACACTGTGAACTTTTATAATGATACGTTTGGTCATTAACTTTTTAATGCATCATTATGCAAACACATGAGCAGAGTTCTCGGCATGATAGACCCGCGACTAGCAGATCAACGTATCTCTTTCATTTCTCTCCAATACGGTAGGAAATGAAATTAAACGAAATGTGGATGATGTTAACTGTGATAAGATGATTGACAGGGCAGTTTAAACAGTGACAGAATGCACGTAACTAAGCAACAGAGCGTCCGTTAAAGAAGCAGCTATGACGAAGTAGTATGTCCCAAAGCTTGCCTACTATTCTTCTACATACTCAAAAGTATGTACTTTTTTTTCACAAAAAGAGTACATACTTTTAGGGCATAGTATAAGTAGGAGAATTGGGACGCAGTCATTTCTCCTTTTATCTGACTAAACAATTGCTCATGTTCATGTTCCAGGGGTGTTGGTGCCATGGAGATTGTTGCCATGGATATGAAAGTGAGTGGCATGTATATCGCACGCCAGCTGAGCTTTTCCGGAGTGTCCTTCCGTATAGAGGAGATTACACTGGACAAAGAGTTCAAACTGGTCTACAACAAAGCAGCTAGACTGGTGAGAGAAACGCTGACACAGACAGCCTTGGGGACTTGTGGCTAAATCCGTTTGTCCCAAATAATGTTTTAGATGGAAGTTAAAGTCTTTTTTTCCTCTGTGTAGTGGGCCGAGGCTCTCGAGCTGTTCACCACAGCTGCGAAGACGTTGGGTCTGGCCTCCCGTAAGTCTCTGTGGGGTCAGTTCTGGTCGTCACACCAGAGGTTTTTTAAGTACCTGTGCATCGCCGCTAAAGTCCGTCGTCTGGTTGAACTCGCTCATACTGAGATGCAGCACGGCAAGGTGAGTCAGTGATTAAGATTTGTGCTTTCACTCGTTGAAAATCCATGGAAAGGTTTGACTGGGTTTTAAATATCCTTACGCAGTAATAGGGCTGCATGGTTAATCAAAATTAATCTGAAATCACGATATGTGACCCTGGAGCACAAAAGCAGTCTTAAGTCGCTGGGGTATATTTGTAGCAATAGCCAAAAATACATTGTATGGGTCAAAATTATCGATTTTTCTTTTATGCCAAAAATCATTAGGATATTAAGTAAAGATCATGTTCCATGAAGATATTTAGCAAATTTCCTACCGTAAATATATAAAAAATGTATTATCATTAGTAATATGCATTGCTAAGAACTTCATTTGGACAACTTTAAAGGCGATTTTCTCAATATTTTGATTTTTTTGCACCCTCAGATTCCAGATTTTCAAATAGTTGTATCTTGGCCAAATATTGTCCTATCCTAACAAACCATACATCAATGGAAAGCTCGAAAAATTGACACTTAAGACTGGTTTTGTGGTCCAGGGTCACATATGACTTAGTACGATTATCAAATCGCAAAGGCTGCACTTATAAACCGATTGCTGTCAACTAAAGAGAAGCATTAAAGGATTAGTTCACTTCTGAATTAAAATTTACTCACCCCCATGTCATCCAAGATGTTCATGTCTTTCTTTCTTCAGTCGAAAAGAAATTAAGGTTTTTGATTTTGAAATTAAGGTTTTTGAAAATTATGAGGAAATTTTAATTCAGAAGTGAACTAATCCTTTAAGGGCTTCCCTGTCAAAATAAAAGCTTGATGATATTTTTTTTCTTATTTTATAAAAGATACTACATATTACAATAGTAGTATATAAAATATTACAATAATATTATTTCTTATTTTTTAACATTTAGTAATAATAATAATTTTGTGATTATTGTCTTTTCAATATATAATTATTATTGTTGTTGTTGTTGTTGCCATTTTATGGTCTTATCAGTATATAATTACAAAATTTTGGCCAAACAAGCACAGCAAACCTGACACTTTTTTTTTTTTTTTTTACATGGCAAATGCAATATTATTACAATAATATTATTTCTTATTTTTTAACATTTAGTAATAATAATAATTTTGTGATTATTGTCTTTTCAATATATAATTATTATTGTTGTTGTTGTTGTTGCCATTTTATGGTCTTATCAGTATATAATTACAAAATTTTGGCCAAACAAGCACAGCAAACCTGACACTTTTTTTTTTTTTTTTTTTACATGGCAAATGCAATATTTATCAGGAAAAGAAAGTATTTAAAACAAGTATCACCTAAATGTATTTTAGATATTTTGTCTAGTATTAACCTTAAATGTCTTATGTAGCTTCTTGTTAATTATATGACTTTTGATATTTATTCTGTTTTCGCCATGAAGATAGCCTTGCTGCTGACATGCCGTAAAAATAATCAATCAATCAATTATGTAATTACACCTAACTGGAAAGTTAAATTCATTGTGGGAAGCCTGTATTAAGTGTTTCACTAATTGTGCCGAATGTGGCTCCGCCTCTCTCCTGTGTCATTCCAAACAGTGCATCGTGATTGGCCTGCAGTCCACTGGAGAGGCTCGTACTCGAGAGGTCCTGGACGAGAACGACGGACGCCTGGACAGATTCGTCTCCGCTGCTGAGTGAGTGTCTCAAAGTCCATTTCCCACGGTCTTCTTCAAAGAGGAAAGACTGAAATCTTCAGCAAATCACAGATAGACCAATCAGAATCAACTATTATATAATAATCAATATAGAAAGGATGAATAGCTCTGTGGTTATGAGTCACTGTAGGTGAACTGGGTTGAGATTTGTGGGTTTTTGTCCTGTAGGGGGGTTTTCCAGTCATTAGTTCAGAAACACTTCCCAACACAGAAACCTAAAAGAGAGAAAAGCGCCGCAAGCAAGAGGAAACGTGAGTCGCATCATCTTTTCCTTTGAGGATCATGCATTATTGTGTTTGTGGTCTTTCTGAAACCGTTTCTTTGTTTTCTGAAGGAAAACCCAGAGGCCGGGCTACAAAATTTCCAAAGCACCGTGTGGAAGTGGGCGGGGTTATTAAAATCAGCGATGATTCAGACTCCGACTCGGATGAGATCGACAGCGACTCTAACTCCTCCCCTGAATCGCTACAGGACAGTGACGATGTGATTTTCTTGAACCACATCAACGGGCCTGCTGGTAGGTTGTCTTAAATGCAACATAGTAGGGCGGCACAATTAATCTAAATTAAATCGCAAAGGCGATAAATCGCGATTAGGCAGAAGCTGCGATTGTCATGCGTATCTTTCAGTGAAGCATGGTTCTGTGATCAGCAGTAAACCTCTTTATCTGCGTTCGTCTTATTATAATTTTTATTATAATAAAGTATATATTAATGCAATGCTAATCGACATAGCCTTTATCACTGCTTAGAATACTATGAAATATGTTGCGTGCCTTATTCTGTGTAAGAAGCCACGTCATCTCACAGAAACACTCGATTGACGTTATGAAGTGAGTTTGGATTAAAAACATGTTATTAAATGTGGTATTTTCACGTGCTTTCAGATGGTGCAGCATTTACTACACAGAGCCGTAGTTCACTGACGGCGATAGAGATTTACTACTAATCACAGAACTGTGCTTCGCTAAAAGATATGCATGACAATCGCATTCGTTTAATCGTGCAGCCCTACAACCTAGTCACTATGTGTTCTGAAAGAATTTGCTCACGCCGTCCTGTTCATTCAGGAAGTGCAGATGCAGCTCACGCTTATTAAATCAGGGCTAATTTCAGTCTAGACAGCTAAGCCACAAAGGAGTGATTAAGGTCTGTTCCAGACTCTGCTGAAGTCATCCTCTGTGTGTTTTCAGCTAAATTAGAAGAACTCAAGCAGAGGCTGCTGGGTAAAATAGCAGAGCTGGGGAAAGAGCTGCCGCTTAACACTCTTGACGAGCTGATTGACAGGTTTGGAGGACCAGAGAAGGTGTCTGAGGTGAGGAGTCACTGCAGTGCAACGTGTTGTCGCTCTCAAGTGTGTTTGAAACAGTTACATGAACACTAAATATAGACGGCAACATTGTAATTTTCATGTTACTGACTAACGTTTAGTCTCAACCACTGACAGCACATCTAAGCATTCACAGACCATCTGATGGAAATTTCACACAAGAAAGATGAGTTTTCTCAAACTCTGATTCAAATATGACAATTTTTTTTTCAGTCTGCCAGGAAACCAAATAAAAACTATTTAAAATAATTTTTGTTAATTGAAATACAGCTAAAAAATAAGCGAATACAGAAACAAAACAAACATCTAATACATTACATGTATAATATATAATACATAAAAATACATTATTAATAAAATAGGTAAATAATAAAATCATTATTACATGAAAACTTAAAAAACTTAAATGAAAGTTAGAAATTTTGCCCTGGGAACTACCTGAAATAAAAGAAGTTTAAGTACTACAATTAATAAAACTAAAAATTAATTAAATATTAATTTAAGCTAAATAGGAATATTAAAGAAAAAGAAAGAAACCTAGAAGCCCTGGTAACTACTTGGAATAAAATAAGTTTATGTTGAAGTACTTAAATTACTAAAAGTACAATGGCTATAAATATATATATTTTTTAAAACTTAAATGAAAATGAGAAAATTAGGCAACTGCTTTATATAGAAAAGGTTTGTTGAAAGTACTAAAATTGCAACTGAAATAAATATAAATTAAAGGCAAAAATAAACTTTTTTTTTACTTAAATGAAAATGAGAAATGTTGCCCTGGCAACTGCTTAAAATAGAAAAAGTTGAAGCTGAAGTACTAAAATTACAACTGAAATAAGGCCGTAAGGGACGTGTAGTGCGGCGTCCTGATGGCAGCGTTCGATATGAGACCAGAGCGGAGCAGGGCTTGACCATCGACCACGTCAACGTCAGAGAGAAAGAGCGGTTC